AATCTTGAAGCATTCTGGTCTCTCCATTTGCAACGAGCTGGTCGGACAAAAGTGAGGCGCCAACTGCGCCAGCAGGCTTTTCAAGGGAAGGCCAGGATGCCTCAGGACGAAGGACTCATCAAGTGATCGGTGCCGGTGCCTGCTGTCTCATCGTTCGCCATTTTTGTGGCAAAGAACTGAAAGAAGCAAGCAAAGTTCGTCGGGGATTTCTTTTGGCAAACAAATCCCAAGACCTGATGTTCATATACATGTTTGTTTTCATATGTTATCGATATGTTCACGATAAGGTGGCCGCATCAACCAAGCGCCGCTTAGATGTTGGCCTCAGGATATGGACTCCACAAGCCTTCAGGAGTCGGCACTTTCTTGGTAGACAGGACTCAAGGAGGGAACCTACTAGCGGTGGCCTCCAACCTAGTAGCGATGGCCTCCAACCTACTTTGTAACGTGGGACTCAAACAAGAACCTTCCAAAAAAATGGGACTCTCAAACGCCTGGCCGTCTGGCCGTCTGGCCTACATCCAAGATCCTGGCAAGCCACGGAACGCCTGTGAGGTTTCCAAGGACGTCCTACGCAGGTCGGGACAATGATGCAGGTAGGCCAGGCTCGTTTGGACTTGTTTTGGATCATTTACACTCCAAATTGCCCGAAGTCTGGACACCAAAAAACTACACCAACCGAAACCCCAAGCTGCTTCAGCTGGATCTTTTGACGTCAACTCCTTGCATTCCAATGTTGGTGGAATCGTCTGCAATTCTATTGTATTCTTATAGCATCCAGCTCTTTGGGAACAACATGCAAGCAAAACACATCATCGCTTTACCACTGGGATCACTTGCTCGGCATTCTATAGAGTAATGGTGTCTATAGAATGGTTAATCTCTATAAAATGACTGGCAAGGTTGCTTCTATAGAATGCCAAGCCAAATGCAGCAGTAAGAGATCACTTAAGGGATGGACACGTCAAGCCTCTGTATAAAGTGATCTTTGTTCAAAGAAACTCAATAGCCAAAACCATAGATGCTAGAAAATACAACATCAAAGGAATGAGGAGTGGAGGGCCGTCACGCGCAGCTTATGTGCTGCTAATGTGCTGGCTTGGCCTTTTGTTGTGAGAGCATCTGGATCTGGCAAAGCATCTTGTAGAGAATTTGCGTTCGCACCTCTCACCGCTTTCTGCTATAAAAAGAAGAAGAGATAAATAAACATAAACAATAATAACCTAGAAACACCACTCTATAACTCTATATGAAGATATTGATAGGTGTTCTATATAACTCTCTAAGTCTCCCCCTACACGTCCCTTTCTCGTCCTGTGTCTCAACCCGTGTGGGTTTTCCTACGCCATATATCCGACCTCACCTTTGGAGACCAATGCAGGGACACAAGGCAAAGCACAAAGGAGAGAAAGGGACTACAGGGGAGAACAATTTCTTTTGAAACAACACCTATGTTAAATACGTTAAATAGATGTGGTTTTAGTTCCTTTCACATGTTTTTTCCAGAATTTGTGGTTTCTCCAGAACGATTTGAAACTTTTCAGCTTAAAGCTTGGGGGTCACAGCATGCGAGCAAAATTAAGATAAAAACCCCTTGAGAGAACAAAGCATAGCAGCCAAACAAACTCTGAGACTGATGTATTTTGATGTATTTTTTTTCTTTGTTTTTTAGTGAACATATGTTACCCTCTATAAAATGCTTGGCGAGGGTTCACAAGGCATGCCAAGAAAGAAAGGCCACCCAAACAGACAAAAACGTCTCTTTCAAATTCTGTCAAAGCTTCCAGAAAGTCTGCTAAACTAAACGGATCACTCTATACAATGAGGGTCCAAAACGCATTCTTATAGTGTCAAATGATCGTCAAAATTGAAACGCTGCATAATCGTTGCATTCAAACCCGGACAAGGCGGTGGAGAAAGAAAGCCAAAACGGCGCAGCCAAGCAGGGGACAAAGCCCGGACAAGGGTTGACGATGTGGTCTTAACCCGGCAGACACAGACCCCAATAAGGCCCCGTCATAAGGCCCTGACAAGACAGAGAAGAAAGGGCCCACGGCACAGCACACGGACAAGCCCCGGACAAGGCCTGGACAAGCCCCGGACAAGACGGCCAAGCAGGACTCACAGACGCAGGCCTTCCTGCAGCTGTTTTAGAACCATCTTCCCAACCCAACAGGAAGCTGGGTGAAGAACCATGCCTCACCTTGGCCCAGCTCTTCCATCGCCTGACACAAAAGCGAAGCTCTGCCATGGGAGTTCCACGCAAACAATGAAACAAACAAAGATAGATTGAATGAGAACCTTCAAGCTACGTCTTCACAACAAGAACCTACAACGAAAAGCAGCTTGTAAAGCGCGCCCATTGTAAAGCAAAAACAATGCAAAATCTTTTGGCAGTCCCGCCTTTCCACAGACCGTGGGAGATAGTACGGCCTATCAGGAAGTGCATCGACACCCATGCCGAGTGCAACCCTGTAGAACAGAATGTCAGCCTCTCCTTGGAGAAACTGCAAAGGATATCCCTCTAAGCATAAGATATAGCTCCTTTGGCTATACGCAATCATCAAAGGTGTCATTACATCGCCCAGATTTGTCCAGGCTGTCAGTATGCCAAATGCTGTCAAATGCTTCGCTGCTTTCAGAAGCCTATCTTTTCTCACGGTGCATTAGACGTCAGGGCCGCGGAAGGGCACATCACAAAAGTGTCCTCAGGTTGTCGTCGGAGAGAACACAAGGCCACACGTCGTAGAGATCTGATTGATGTGTGCTCAACCTCAAAAAACAATCTCACCCTACAAGATCAAGTGATCATTAAGTTAATCTTGTTCCTAGAACCTTGGTGATGGTCCCAAAGAGCTCTTGGTCGTAATCCAGCTGCGGATGTTCGTTCTTTTCTTACCGGATCTCGACGACCTTTGCAACAACTCAGCTCTCCAAGAGGCCAAGGAAGTCAGTGACGCAGCCAATGTCAGTGGGTATCCATCTCGATGGCGAATCCATCAATGCTTGCAAATCCCGCACCAGCCAAGCCTACCATGGGTTGTTGCTTCTAAGCAATTGCGCAGAAGAAACGGAAACATGAAGTCTGTAAATGCATGGAGCCTTGTATGTCGCCAAACAAATCTCCCAAAGTGAGAAACAGCATGTCACTCTCTTGTTGCAAAGCAAAACACAAAGTGCAATACTACTAGTAGCAAGAAGCTACTAGTATAGCAATTTGCAACTAGTAGTAATGCACTTGTTACTAGTAGCGATGCATCTGTCTCACCAGGTCGGGCAAGCGCGCTTTGGCGCTTGCGCCTTCTTGACCGTCTGCCAATCTGGCCCAAGAATGCCATAGAGCTCCACAACCCACCTTGCACCTCCCGGTAATGGACGATACTCTCCTGGGCTCATGCTCGGTAGGAGCACAAGAAGAATGTGCCTTTCCACTCATTCCAGCAGTCCCTGTGGTGAGATTCTGCGGGATTTAGCCTGTCTCTTAAACACAGAATTGCATCTTCTGCCACGCATAGGATGTAACTGCTTCTTTGTGCACTCTTCATAGGATGTCTGCAGTATGTTTGATTATTTGTCGAAGATGTGGCGTCATTTCAGGGGCTTCCTTTAGAGATGCATTCGTCCAATACTATTTCAGTGATGACTCACAGTGGCCACGGGGTGCTCTACTGCTGCCAGTGGCTTGCTCCGTTTTTTCATTCGACCTCACATCGCCAAGCACTTTGGCTGGCTGGCAGACCGTCTCCCCAATGAGCTCCATCACCTTGTCCGCCTCAAGGGCGGAGTAGAGTCGAGCACAAAGAGAAGGGTCGACAGGCAGTTCTAGACTTACGAGAAGCTACTAGGAACAGGTGCATTACTACTAGGAGCAAAATAGCTACTAGGAACAAGAAGCTACTAGGAACAAAGGGCATCGCTACTAGGAGCAAGGACGCTACTACTAGCTCCTGGCATTACTACTAGAAACAAGAAGCTTAAGCAAACAAAGCTGGCAACAGGAAAGTGTAGAGAAAAACCCGGATAAGTAGATGAACAGTTTCTGCGGAGCCGCTCATTTGTTGCGACACCTGCAGACTAGGCCCATGGCCCGTACCTTATTTTTTTATATCCTGGACCTTCCAACTACAAGAAACATCTGGTCGTTTTGGTTTTATGGTTGTTTTGGTCATTTTGTTTGTTTTGCGTTTGTTTGCGGATTGTGGTGATCGTTTGCTGATTTTTTTCCGTGCGTGTTGCGCTCATTTGCAGTCGTTTTGACGTGTGCGCTGTTCTGTCCGCCGTTTGCGCGGAAAACCGGGTTAATATACAGTTTTCAAAGCTACCATGCTTGTTTGGTCGTTTGAAGATCCAGGATCACATCTTTCCACATCTTCAGCGTCCCTTAGCCCATCACCGAACCGTGTGCCTTTTGAAAGACATTCCGTCTCAGAACCGCTACATCGGCCCTGGGTGAAGGCTGTATGGTGAACACCAAAATCACGACCATCAGTGGATGTTCCAAAATACCTGTGTCACACGCAAAATGGACCGCACAGAGACCTTTCATGGCCTGTGCCCCGTGTCAAGGACGTTTTGACCGTTTTGATCGAACTCCCAGGACCACCTCCCGCCGCACCTGGTACGAAGTGCTGCGCCAGTGCGGCTGCGAAGGCACCAAGGTACGAAGTGCTTAGGCAGTAAAGGGGTCGGTGTCGTCCGTCCCTCCCTGCAAAGGATCGCGTCAAAACAAGGCGCAGCATACACGGTTGAAGGCTGACACTTACAAATTACTTCCAAGTACAGTATGTTGCACTATCTATTGTGTGGGGGCCCTATCTCGTTTAGACTACTTTAGTAGGAAGTCATGTCACACTACTACTTTTGTAGCAAATCACTCTATCTCGTTCAAGCTGCTTTAGTGTCGGGGCCCTATCTCGTTCACCAGCGAATACTGATGTTTGGACAAATAATTAGAGCATGCCGTAGACTACTGTAGTCAAGACCAAATAACAGTGACTTGCTCATCTTCTTTTACCAATCTCGCAGTTCTCCACAAGCAGAATCTCAGCTGTCGTGCCTTTCGGTCCCGTCGACTCGACTAGTCCCAGTTCGACTGACAAAACCAAGCACCAAAACAGGCACCCAGTACGCCAAATGCAACGAACCACCTGACACACGCCATTGTTCGCGGTGTAGCCCCGACCACAAAAGCATTTTCCTGCTTTGCAGGTGGAATGAGGCACCGTGCAGTAGCCCATGCGGCAAGTTTCGCCCGTGCGGGTGCCCAGCGCAGTGGTGGGTTGTTCAGACTCTGATCTACCTTGGGCCGTGCCGGTGGCCGGTGGCCATGGGTTCCAACGGCTGGCCGGTGGACATGGAAGACCAACCCCTGCTGTCTTGGGGCTTCTTCGCTTCGGTGAACCTATGGTAGTTAGAGGCATGCGGTGAACCTTCAGTCCAAACTCCACATGCGGTAGGCATGTGATCGAACCCTGCTTTCACAACTTTCCCTTTGAATTTGGATGTGACATCAAGTTCGATGGCCCACGCGAAGGTCTCGTTGTATCTTGATTCTGAAGGTTCCTTCGTGTCAAGAACCATTTTTCAGGGAAAAGCTACACTTCTTCCTCTGTCGCACAACTCCCAGGATTGCTCGCATCTAGGTTGGAGGCCATCGCTAGGTTGGAGAAGCCTAGAATATCCAGCATAAAAGATGTAATACCTCCAATTTGTCTGGTGCTGCGGCCGGGCACTCACTGGCCGGTGGAGGCCTCGCTTGAATTGGGATACCAAACCAAAAGGTTTCTGAACGTGTCTTTTCCTTGGCAAAAGACCTGCAAACCTGGTGCAGGACCCCTCACTCGTCCCCAAACCACCCAGTCAAATAGATCAAGTAATAATTCTATACCTGGTGGATCCTGATCGGAGCGTTGGCACATCTGCACATCTCGAAGTGTTTCGTTTGCATCTCTGCCAAGACTCAAGTGCCTGCAAATGCCAAATACCCCTGGCCGCGAGAAACTTGGAGCTGAAAAGATTGCCCAGAATAAAGTGGTTTCACAGTATAGATTAGATGGCCCAATCCCAAGTTTGGTGGTTTACATGGACCCATATTAAGGACATCTTTGGGTTTGCGCAATCTATTCTGAAACCACTGTAGATTTCAGTTGTGCACTCTCTAACTACAAAGGTTGGTATCTCTGTTGCATCTTGACGCGTCCAAAAACATTTTGTGTCATCAATCAGAAAAGGAATGATGATTTCACCTCAACCACATCCATCCCATCCTGCTCTGGCTCCCTTGGGCTCGGTGCCTCCGCGCAAATGCACTTCAAATGGTGACAAATGGTAGGCCCTCGACTCTGGTCACAGTTCCAGAAACTGCAGGTCCTCAGTGAGATGCATGAAGTCTTGGGGTTGTGTATACTCAAGGAAGTCTACAAAACGACTTCTAAGGCTGAAGTTCCTGAATCAAACGAATTACAAATCTGAAATGGTTTCGTGGAGGACAAACAAGGATAAAACTCAGTCCTTGGGACTGGGCTGCTCTCAGGTCTTCGTTTTGTTCAAGACCCCACCGATGGCAAAAAAGAGAGAGAGAGAGAGAGACAAAAAAACAAACAAATAGAAAAATGAACAGAAAAAACAGACACGTTAAGAAACAAAAGAACAAAAAAGGAAGGGAAGGGAAGGGAAGGGAAGGGAAGGGAAGGGAAGGGAAGGGAAGGGAAGGGAAGGAACATTCAAAAAAGCAAGGAAACGAAAGGAAAACAAAGGCAAACATGTATCTATATATCTAACCTCAACTCAATCCTCCCTTGTCTAAGAAATTTCGTGAACATATGCTACTGTCCCAAGAAATCATATCAATTATCATGGACCCACGCATTGGAAGGCCCAAAACCCTTTTTGCACCGTCGTGTCGGCAGGTGAATTCGTCGTTTTTGCTCGCCGCAGTGTCCCACCGGTGAAGCGCCCATAGTGAGAGAGATCTCCCCAGGCGGTGGGCTCATCGTCCCAAGCTTCTCTCCTCACGGGACTTTCACTTGGACTTTGGTCTTTCACTTTCACGTGAAAGTACTGATCGATACTCATCAGCATGGGAAGAAGGTGTAGAAGAAGATCATCGGCATGCTTCTTCTGGCAGCGGGTTTGGGTACTATGAGGCACAAATGACAACTGTGCGGAACAAGTTGAAGCTGAGCGGGTTCAGAGGCTTCAACACTCTTCGGTCGAGTGAGACCTGAACCACATCCTCCAGAATCAACACTGCAGTTGGCGTCTTTTGAATATATGTTGCAAATATGTTGTAGCTGCATTATTATTCGCAGAACAGCACTTTCAGCTCAACTATGTGTCTCGGTTTCTCGCTCGTTCTGGTTTACAACTTATAACCTATCATCCCACGAACCATTGCGAGGTGAAGAATTGCATCTCTCCTAGCCGTCATGACAGCTCGTCTTTCTATGTGCGGTTCTTTGTGCGACAAAACTCGGATCCCCATTCTAGAGGTAGGTTGACCTCCCCAGGTAGTCTATTCTGTTCATTTTCTCTTGTCAACCAAGGTACTCCGGTTTTGGGACCCATTCCGATATAGCCACGGGACATGATACACGCTTCCACTCATAGGAGTGATTCCCGATTACCGGGAGGTTGGGATCCAAATTGCAAGACTTTCAAGCAATGCTCTGATAAAACCTCCCTGAAAAAAGAAAAGATTGTCCTCCTGTGTCAAGATCATTTGTAACCCGTCCCTTTGTTGCAGCCAAGGTTCTCTAGTTTGATGGTTTGTTTTTTTTGTGGCTGAGTATTCTATGTTATTCTCATCTGTCTGCCTGAGTGAAAGCCTTTCGTTCGCTTCCTCTGATTGTTTCCCTAGCGGGGTGGACTTTTCTCCTGGTATTGCTTTGTCAGCTCTATGTGTTGCATTCCCATGTTGTCTTTGTTGTTGCGTCTTCTTTTTTCCATGAAACCTTTCACCAAGGTTTGGTGAACATCCACCTGAGCCATCAACGCGGTCCGGACCGTCCACGTCCCATCCCTCGGGCCACGCCCCGCGCTCCTGGAGCCTGCTTGAAGCCTAGGCGCTGCGAGACGCGAGCCGGTTCCGACCAGCCAAACGGAGCGGCGGTGCCGGTGCGGAACCGTTTTGGAAGACGAGGCGGTGTGAGGCGGTGAGGTTGGTTTCGGCCATGATTCGAGGTTTCGAGTCTCTGGTGCAAGACAAGTAGTCTTCACAACCTGCCTAATTTGCCGAACCGCGTGGCAATTCCAAACTGCATGAGCCATCAGCAGCCTGTCAGGGGCGCACTGCGGTTGTGACCCCACCGGACAGTGTCCAAAGATGTCCAAAGTGAAAATGCAAAACGATAGCTGCAGGCCTGAGTGCAATCTTCATCGGCCTCGAGTGCTCTTAATTCCACATCCTGGCGAACACCAACGGAGTCAGAACCCCTCTGTGCGGTTGCAACCCTGAAATCTGGACTCCACATAGCAAAAGATCAGGTGCTGGAGACCAGGATAATTCATATATATATATATAGTAGTCATTCACCCTTTATACTGTGATTGTTGTTGGTCATCAAGGTTTTGAGAAACATGAAACAACTCTGCACCCGAACCTGGTGGCCATGGATCAAGGCAACAGGCCATAAGCAAAACCTTGGAGCGAAAGACTCTCTTCACGCCTTTCAAAGGTGAAATGTGCTTCAAAGAGCGACAAATGCGCATGTTTTACATGCACATCCTGTTGGCTTCTGAACATCATGGCAGGGTCAATGCAAATCCAAGACAGCTGGCAGGATGTACCTACCAGCTGTTGATGTGCTTTGACGAACACTGCAGTCAAGCGACCAGCGGCGCATCTTGGAGACTGGATGCTGACTGCCCCAAAAGTGAGCTTGAGCAACAAGCGAAGCCAGTGGTGAGGGGTTTCTAATATACATGGTGCATGTGTGAGTTGAAATCTCACTTGCAGTGCTTAAGAGCGGCATCTTCTGCCCTGACGGCATCTCGAAACCTCAAGTCGCCCCAGTTGATACCTCCTCAAGTCACGCCAAAGGAGTAAACCCTGCTTCTCCGTACATCATCCGTGAGATAAGCCCACCCTAGTGCCCACCCTGCTATTCTGTTCCAGGTGCCATTGGCTTGGTTGAATCCTTCAGAGTACTTGATGCCATTGATCGCCTCAGAGGTCGCTACAGGACGTGATTGAGCCAACAAAACCAAACGAAGCCCTGGTCGCTGAGTCAATCAGCTAAGCAACCCAGTAGGCGAAGTCTACATCCCTAGAAGAGAGGTAGCCTTGGAGCGATGCACGTTGGCTGAGTATCCTACAGGTTTCGTCTTGAAAAGGTCTACAGTCTACATCTCTACATGTCTCTACAGTCTACAAAGGGAGCCCTTCGAAGAATCGAAACTATGCAGGTCCACTTTTGCAACCAAAGCTAGCGAGAGAGTATCTTGAATGAACTTGTCCATTCAGCCAGCGACGCATAAACTGAAGCCAGAAGCTGCCATGGTTCCTCGAGTTCAAAAGTTTGCTTTGAGCAAACAAAACCGTAAACGTCATCCATCCGAGCCACAAGTAACATGAATGCAGCATCTGAAGGAACTCTTTTGCAGGTGAATGCTTATGTCCAATGCATGTTCAAACATTTGTGGCTGTACGTGACTGTATCTACAGTATTTCAAAGCTCACCAAACATAATCAGCTGCTCCACCCTCTCTCTCTCTCTCTCCCCCCCCCCCCCCCCCCCTCCTCTGCTTCTTAAGCTCAGGCTCAAGTATCCAAATTCACCCATCCAAATAGGTGCAGTGAAGGCTTGGCCTTCTTCCAGAGCAAAGCCCCACTGCTTGTCAAGCCACCTGGCGTGCGACCACCAGAGGCAATGTGCGACCACCCGATGATTCTGATGACATGTTTTTTCCAGCCTTTCATAGAACCAATAAGTATCCTGACTCTATTAACGCGCAGTTCGATAATCTCACAACTATTCTCAATTGTCAGAGTACCACAAATAGATTGTGAAAGAAATCCAGGAACACTTGTTGCAACGGAGTCTCTATGAAGATGGCAGCCTTGGTGGCAGTTCCTCCGTCACGGAGGGAACTGGAGGGATCGTTCGGGTTCAGCCAAGAGGCCAACAGTGCGACCATGCACACCAGGAGCAGGATCACAGACACCATGAAGCATTGCAGGTTGATCACAAGCCCTAGCCAGCCAATTCAACCACAATGGCTCGGCTAGGTTGGTCAACTGCCCCATGGAGAAAACGAGGGGAACTCTGAGATACTCTGTGTATGGGAAACATGGAGATGTCCCCACAACCCCCCTGTAAAACTGGATGGTGCGGATCTCCCCATTTTGAGAAGCCTTGAGTCCCTTTGCATGCGGAAAACGACACAGCATTTTACAATCAACAGCAACCCGTCGCGTCGCTGGAATCCTGGGTCGCTGGCCTCTGTCCCAGGGCCTTGTGATCTCTCGTCCACTTCCTTCCCCGCTACTTTTGCGGAAGAGGTCCGTCTCCTGCCGTCCACGACTCTTCACGAGTAACGTCCCAAGCACAAAGCCGTTCCTCATCGCAGCTTTCATCACTTTGCAGCAGGTTCCTGTCCTCAGTACTTGTCGAGCCCGTTGGTCGAGACAACTGCCTACGGCATGACTAAGTGCATCTACTCGTCTTCTATATTCCTCCATCCTCAAGACTCAAATTGTATCAATGAATATTCTTCGTCATACTAATGATTCCCACAATGATTCATGATGTCTGTGTGTTAGGCCAAGTGGCTACTTGCAGTAGCTCTGCCAGACCTCAGCCAGGTCTTCGACTGAAACTCTCCATTGGGAAGCCAACACGAGCACCTGGGCCTTGCATCCAGGCTGCTGGCCATTCCAGACAGGCGCCAAGATACCACAAGTAGAGCAAGTCCACCCAAAGCTGCGAGGAGCCAAAAATACACCCACCTCACACTGCCGAGTTTGGCTTGTTTGAAACCTGATCTTCCAACATCTTCAATTTCGCCATGATGAAAACGTAAGAAACCTAGAGAGAAGATGAGAGAAGCATTTCTTGAGTGGGAGGTCCTAATCTCTACTACACCCCGATCACCAATCTATAGGGATTAATGTGGCACACCAATCTAGTGCAGTCTTTGAGAGGGAATTCATGCAAATCAGGTTTTGACTTTGCATTGCATGTGTTATCATGTGTTGTTCAAATATCCACACCTTTATATGACATGGGCCCGCTCGGCACGGAGTTGGAGAGTCCAGCAACCTCATTGAGATTAGATTCAGATTTGGATTGGTTTGTCGGGATTTGGACAATATTGGTGATGTTTATAGATAAACACGTGGCAAGAGATCTTGTGGCACGAGATCTTGTGGCAAAGGTAAATCACGTGCCACGGACTTCGACCACTTTGTATGCTGCATTGCATTGCCAAGTAGCGGTAAGAAGTCCTCCTGAGCACCCCATTTGCAATAGGTACACGCCGCCTGCATTGGTTCATTCGAATATTGGATCTTTTGTGTGCAAAGGGGAGCAAATCTCAGGGGACACATGGACGTTTTCCCTCAGCATGTGGCAGTGGGCGACTGACCAGTCTGAGTGGTTTTGATCAACCTTCACCGCTTGGGCCTTGTAGGTCGTGAAGGCCATGGCCATGAAGATCAGGCTAAAGAGTGCTGACCACGCACCTCAGTGTGAGTGACCGCAGGACCCCTCTGCCTCTGAACATCAGAATGAGGCCGACACCAAGGGACATGAGAAAAAGATGCTTTGGAGGATACCCAGTACCACTCCTCAGCTCGCTCTGAACAATTCATGATGAGTGACTTGTTTGAATGGGTCCTGCTGACATAAAATCATTAAATACAATCTGTCCTGTAAATATATATGATGTATTACGGGTGTCTATAGAAATAGCTTTGAGCCATACCACCCACACCGCCCACACAACATGCCTCCTCCAGCGTCTCAGAAGGTAGAAGATCGTGGCGCTCAAAGCTAAGCCTTGGAAGGCGCTCAGCCCAAACGCTGATCGTGGTGCAACATGGTGCAACTGATCGACCCGTCCAATCTGCTGATCCGCTTGGATCATCTGATCTCCTGTCCAAGACTTGGATCATGCAGATCCTGCTCCGCTCCTAGATTTTGTCTCCAGGCCAATTGGTGTCGGCCTTCGCAACTCGAGTCTGAGCTTTCCACACGAAAGCATCGTGATCGTTCTCAGTGTACTGAAGGTGATGCCCAAATCACGGGGTATCAGATTCCAGAACTGATACTCCTCAGGTGTCTCACCAGTGAGCATCTAAGCAAACTCTCTGACTGGAACCAATCAAACTTAGCGAGTTCATGTCCCTGCTGTCCCTGCTCATTTCCAAGGATCGACATAGTTGTGCGTCTCATACACCACCCTGTTTGGAAGATCCAATTTGATCGGATGGGATCCTGCCATCACTTCGGCCGTTGTCGTGACTGGGCACTCGTGACCATGCGCTGACCCTCGCGATCTTCGCTTCACCAAGGCTCACGCGCATTGGACGTAGCTCCATCCCAAAGCACAACGCCATGACGACCTGAGCGTAACGGATGCCAGAAACGCCCGCCATCCAGCGTGGTGCAATAACATCGCGCTGAGCATTCGACGATGATCAGGTCCTGCGAACAACAATCGAAATGTTGAGTGTGGTGCTTCGAAATTGCAGGTCATAACAAGTGCCACGCTAGTAGTAACAGGTGCCTTACTAGTAGTAACAAAGAAGCTATTGGAAACAAGTGCCTTACTAACTACTAGTAACAATAAGAATTTATATAATTGGAATTCTAATTAATAGAATTGTCAATTGGGTGATGTCATGCCTGCTGTTGGTGTCATTGATATTGTGCAACTGCAACTCCACATTACACAGTTCAACCTGCTTAGGACCCCGTCTTTTACATGTAGATTATAAACATAATCATACTCATCCATAATATTATGTATACACACACCCCAGGCACCCCATGCTCCTGCGCTACTATTATACGAATAATTTCATCTTTGTATTCATGGTTCGTTTACGATGCTTTCTTATGCATCACCGAATGATCACAGACTTGCAGCCCCTCCTGGTTTTCTGCCAGTACACGATTCCCGGCACGGGTGGCCGCTGCGGCCCAGTCGGTCTTGGGATCATTGTCCTTGGCTACTTAAAGTGCCGGTTTGCCTCATCATCGTCTAAAAGCGTCATATCATATCGACATATCAACGATATCAATATTGAGATGATACTGAATAAATACAATATAACATAATGTGTCTATATCTAAATACATAAAGCATGTATCATCAATTATCATCATGTATCATGAAATAATAAGACATCACAGCCAAACCCGCATCATCTCCGCCAACTCTTCCCCATGCACTCCGTTCTCTCTCCGAAACATCTCTCAACGCCTCGGGTCCGGACCCCCCCAGGTCATCATCAAGCCGTTGCCCCACTTGGGATTTGAGTGCAAGTCGTGAACTTCATTTCTCAGATCGATACCCACCACGAAGGAATTCCCTCGGTACCTCTAGCGAAGCAGAAGGAACGCACTGGAGAATCCACTGAGGGATATTCTCATGGGCTAAGCCTGGTACTACTTCATACAGTAAACAGTAAACATGCATAAACACCTATAGCCTAACTGGCCTAACTTCTGATGCCTTCGTCGTCAACCTTGACATGCAATTTTTTGGGGGGGCAGCCAGTTGGATCGTCTGGGACTGACCTATGAGAAACTTGTTCACCCAGACTCTGTACAAACAGGTGTCTTTTTGTTTTAATGGCATTCCCGAGCTTAAATTCCCACAGGCCATGGCTATCAAGATCTCCAGTAAGAACATCAGCCTATTGTCTTAATGTCATACCATGTCATACCGCCGACCCGACAGTCGAAGATGTCACCGGTTGTTCTTTTTGGGGCTCCCCAAAAGAAGTGCTGCGCGGGTGACTCCGGGCCTTCTGGTCATGTTCACAAGGCTTTGTATCCAGATGTCTTCTGGATACCCCGGCACATACCTCAAAGGTGCAAACGATCAAGTAGCTTCAGACTTCGTGACTTCTATTCAGATCGGATCAACGTGCCACAATTCTAATTCATCGCTTGGAACATTCTTGAACGTGCCGCAGAGCATCCAAAGGCCCTCATCCTGGGACCAATGGCAGCAATATCCAGCGCGGGAAACATGCCTGGCTCTCCGCTCCCAAAGCTCTGGCTCGCCAATTCCAAACCAGGGCTGTGAATGTTGGAAGTCATGGCACCAATTCGTCCCAGCTCAAGAGAAGCAGCCCCAAACAACCCCACCAACTGGACGAGTTCGACCGATCGGAAGTTGCTAGTCTCGCCGGGGCACTGATCAATGATCACCTTGGGTCAATCGCTTTTCGATCCACCAAAGCCTTTCGATCCAACAAATCGGAGATGACCCGGTAACTCTTATAACTTTAGTATTAAAAAGAAAGCATTACCGCAATTACCGCCACAAGAAACTCGGGTCTTCATGGCAAGAGACACCTAAAGGCTAGTGTCTTTCCCCAAGATGACCATCTGCATGGCAAGTGACCATCAAGCCTGCCTTGGTCAAGGCCTCAATTCCTGCATCAAAGCCATCCAAGAACCGCTTGCCGCTCAAGAACCTGACAGGGTCTGCTGGATCAAACGGACGCAGCACCAGTCAGTCCGGCTCGATCCAGGGTGCTTCAATGTCACCGCAAATCGCAGGAATTCAATACGCAACCTCACATCTGAACTGCTTCAGCCACAAAAAAGCCTCCCTCCCCAACCACGCACTCCGCCTGTTGGCTTTCACAAACTGCTCTTCAAGAAATGGATTCCTCAGGGGATTTTGGGAGGGACAACCATGTCAACCATGCAATGAAGCTCGAGAACTGCTCTTCATACGTCTCTTTCGTCCATGCTACTCCACTCCCAAACGTGGAAAAGTGCAGACATCTGGAGACCTTAAAGCCACGTTTTTTGAGCAAAACGAACATCAGGTACCCGCTCCTGACATGAGCCTCCAAGCTGTATGCCACTCTCACGCAATTGAAGCCCAGTTCTGCAATACGCTTCACCTTGAGAACTCACTCCATCTTGCCCAAAGCCACGGTCACACGAATCTCTACAAGGTATCTGCTTTAGGATTTGGAGGGTTTATGATTACGTTTAATTCCCCAACATCTGCAGTTCCTCTAGAGCAGAAAACCTTCAAGATCCGTGCTCACCACTGCCTTTGTCACACATGACACATGACACTGACATCTGATTTTCCTGTCATTCTCCACTGTGGCTTCATTGCACCGAGCTGGCGACGATCTCATCCACCGGGAGCTTCTCCATGCCTCGAACATCGCGACTCGAATGGAGAATTCTTCGAAGCGACATGAGTCGACGTGCCAAGGCCTCCGAAGGTGAAGGAAATGGATTCAGGTCCATACCAGTTCACACACCTGAGTCCCAAGCTGCAAGACTAGTGAATAGATGTGAATAGCTGAAGGATTCCAAAGAATTCACCGAAAAGAATGGAACAACGGCACGTGATTCTGTGACTACAGGAGGCTTACTTATCACTTCAGTCTTTGACCAGGTGAACTGACTTCTGCAGCTACGAGACTTCAAGGACTTGCCACCCAGGCACGCCCATTTCACGCGCTCTCCAAGGCGATCTACAATGAAGCGCCTCAGTTTGGAGAAACATCGAACTTCAGGGACGCCATCCCATGAAACGACCCTCGAACTCACCAGCCTCAAACTCTTCCACCCCCAGCGAACTCAGTGCACCACCCTTCCACCCTCAGCGGAAACCTGGCGGAAGAATCCCCCCCTTCCCGGCCGAGGATCGCCTGCCCGGCCGGGCGAGGCTTCCCGGCCTCTCGGATGGCACCAAGGGCGCGTGGCCGTTGGCCACGCGACATGGGAGCCTAGGAGGCGAATGACTCTGAAAGGAAAAAAACAACTCATAGGAGACAAGTGGTTTCTTCCGCCTTCTTCTTTTTTTGGAGGGTAGAGGTCGACCAAAGGTGAAAAGATCTACTAAATTTGGCTCATATGGATGCATATGAACCAATGTTGAAGGTATAGTGGTGAAATGTGGGATGACATTAAGCACAAATATATGTATAATATATTGGGAGCCGTGTTATTGTTCATCTGTAAGGGTATATCTACGCTGAAATTGATCGACAGTTTTGAATTGCTGGAAGTGGAAACCACAAGCAAATTGCTTACGCCGGTGCAAAGTACCTTATCCTGATGTTCACAATAGAGCCGCCAAATGAACCATGATCGAAATTGTCTTAAAGTCTGTTGTTTGCCTCCGCCATCAGAATGATCAAAATGGCTAGAGTTAGCTGTGACTGTCCAGTTCTCTAGGCGAGATAGGTGGTGCCTGGGGCCAAACAACCCAGGTCAATTCAAACGGACGCCCAGCAAGACCATACAAACATTGCCACTTCACGTTCGACCATCTGCGTGCAGAGACTTCAAGCTTGGTTCCTGACAGGCTCAGAAGTAGGCAGCACCACAGAACCTTCCATCTGTTTCGAGTGCCCTCCTCTTTTTCAACCAAATGCAAAAGCTGCAAGGATACATTGCGGAAAGGACTCAGAAGGATAAGATACAAAATCAACGTCAATCACATCACTAGGGTGTGAGTCCATGATTCCACGGAACAGCTCAACAGTGGTAACGCATGGTAACGCGAGAGAGCCTTGATCGACGAGACCATTGCATCATGGAACTACTCAGGACGCATGCCTGAAGCAGTCTCGCTGATCCGCTAGATAATTTTGGAGCCAAGAACGCTGCAGTGTCTGGCTTCCGATGCGTTGAGCGGCCAATCAAATCAATCTTGCATAACAATTCTTCCCCCACATTCCGTTCAGGAAGGCCTCACACGAGCGAGACAAATCTGCATCATCATATTTCCTTGGCAAAGACAACGACTTGGATTTCTTCTTAGAACGGTGTGAGTTTGAATTCCGGATGGTCTGCTGATGCACATCGGATGGTTTGTGTCGCCACAATGGAATACTCCCATGATACTTCCGAGGAAGCCGGCGCAAAACTCAGCCTCGGCGCAACACTCCAAGCCTTGACGCTTGACTCTAAGCTTCAAACTCCAGTTCCAACAAAAGTTCAGAGCAAGAGGTCATCACCTCCAGAGCTGTCATCCCATGATAATTCTGACACGATTGGATCCGGAGACTACTTTTGACAATATGTTTGGATATTTTGAGGTTTTGCCTATAAGCTACAGCCTACAGCTATAGTCTATCAGTTGCAACATCAACAGTTTTGTCATGCTCATCATCCAAAGATTTAACGTATGATGGTTCTCCTAAGAATGCAAAGAATCATAGCACCAGTGAAGCCATGTTCATCCAATTTGTCCAGCCTTTCACTTGATCTGTCTACATTAATTACACCCAATTCTTTTGTCCCAGCGAACCTCCTTCATTGGAACCAGGAACAACGCGCCCACTGGGAAGGGCACGGCCTAGGTCTGGTGGCTAGGGGGCAGTTTGGCGGTTTAGCTTCCAATAACTGGACACTGACACGCTTTCTTCGGATCAAGACTATGACCAAAGAGTTCGCCTTCTTTGCCCAACATTACAGTGGATGTACCTCTGAAGTGTGTGCAAACGTGTAGTTTGCGCTTCACTGGCTGTGCTTTGAGGTGCCAAAAACCCATCGAGAATCTTGGAGACGTTTCTCAGACTCGGGCAACATGTAGTAGGAACAGCAAGCTCGGCTGCATCCCTAATTTCGGTAGCGATCTCCTGGCGGTTGCTTCAGTTGGCCAACTCCAGCTGCAAATGTTGCTTGCCCCCTTTCACCCGTGCCAGTCCTGCCGGGAGCACCATGATTCTCCCAGCTCTAAGCCGAAGCAATGTACCACAAGAAATCAGTCAGAAAACTGTTTCGGGCACAGCACTGCAAAAAAGACCCAATGAATGGAAAGGCAGCAATTGGCTAGCTTCACATCCACTGTATCTGCACTCTCTCCATTTTGGCGGCTGCATGGCCGGCTGGATTGGCACCAGCAAGACACGTCCTAACTAGGTGGACCGATGTCTAACAACGCACTTCCTTGCTCTGGCATAGCCTCAGCATTAACTTGCTGAGTACACGTTTCAGCTTTGGCGATGTCAGCAATCGTCTCAGTTTGGGCGTTGATGTCGGCACATGCTGGAAGCTGTCCCTGCGCAGCCGCTTTTGCGCCTGCATGGTTTGCTCTATCTTGCTTCTGCAGGGGAGAAATATGACACAACATTACACAACCATGTCCTTCGATATGCAATTGTGCTGAGTCAAAAGTCGACCTAAAGTCAGCATGTTTTTATGACAGTGACATATCCTCTAACTCCAGGCTTGAGTCTGTGATTACCAAGAGTCATGCACCAACTGCCACCCAAACACTGGGTGCTGCATCGTGAACCCCAAAATTACAACACGTGCTGATTTCTAGCCGTTTTCGCACAGCATCAAGAGATTTTGGTGCGATATCGCTCACAAACCACTCAATGCGCAGCAGTATTCTCCTTGTCATTCAAATCGACTTGTGAAGGCTGTCTTTTTGCACAGAAAATTTTTCCAGCTAATCAGGGTTCAGGATTGTAACCATGGGTTCCGGATTTGAAGGCAACTTGGAAGATAATAGTATTAGCAGCAGCAGCAGCGGCAACAGCAGCAGTAGTGGACCAACATGCATATTGTGGTAGTAATATGACCTGTGCTAGCATTTCGCTTGCAGCTCCGGAGCCGTGTTCTTGGTCAAAACATTGTGATGCCCCTGGCACCAGTGGATTCTTTATGCGAGTTTGGCTCTATATCTGTGTATGTGTGCAAGAATGGGTTGCTCAATGACTCAATGATTTTGTTTTGTGGGCAAATCTATTTGAGTGTCTTTCTGCCGGTTTGTGCCCAGTTGTGAGATGGAGAAGCCGCTGCTGGAAGGCATGTCCCGCGGTACTCCTGGTGGGCATTGTGCAATCGGTGTGGTGAGCTCTTGGAAGCCATGCTGTGTTCCCCAAAGCCAGAGAACCAAGCTAGACTTGGAACTGGTATCCCGGCTTGAACCTGCAACTGGTTGTGTTTGAGACAACTTGCACACACACACATGTAAGTAGTATTAAGTAGCAAAACAAATTGGCAGCATTAACAGCACAAACCAACATACAAAGCAACACGCCCGTGCTCAATTTTTGCTCAACATCGACAGACTCATGCAGCATCAACCAACACTCCAGCACTCCACCCAACCAACCCAACAAACAAACAAAGAAACAAACAAACAAACAAACAAACAAACAAAACAAGCAATCAAGCAAGCAAGCAAGCAAGCCAACAACTTTGGAAAACATTTTGCAGGTGGGGCAGCACGCTTAATGGAGCCACTGTGGCCCAGGTTCCACCAAAGAAGGCAAAGGAGGAAGATGCGGGAGTCAAGCTGATCAAGGGCAAAGTGACACTTCAATCGCTGGGTTGCTTGAGTTGGGGCCTGAGCTGAACATGTCATGATAGCAATTTACTTTTTGGCGCACGTTGAGGATGCTTTTCAGCGACGTACACTGACAACAGCGCCTACCTATCAGTCAGGGGGAAGCAGGACAAATGAAACTCTATTTTTCTTGGATTTGGGAATACACTGTTGGTTGTGGCAGGATCTAGCGACGCAAATATGGCACAGCAAACAATACACCCTTTCTTGCAAGCAAATGAACCAGAAGAAGAGCAAGTACCTGGCTCTTCATTATCAGGCAGCTGTTTTGTAGTGCAATACCTGGTGGCAAGCTGTTTGCTTGCAGGCCTACCAGAGGGTTGGAGCTCACCAGACGCCTTGGTCACTCAAAAGCATGTATCCCGTGTGTGCCCTTGGGTGGACAAGCCTGTCACTCTCCTAGACTTTCAGCAAGCAAAACAACTCACATGTTATGTTTGCTCATCAACACTCATGGGTTGTTCAGCAAGTTGGTTGTTCCTTGACTTGGAGTACTTGCAGTTTGGAGCATCAGGTTGCTAAGCACAAATGCATGAGCTTTTTCAGCGGCATTTGCGGCCTAGAGCTGGGCCTCTCTGCGTTCGGGGCTTAATGTTGTTACTGTATGTTCATTTCATAGAGTTTGGAATAGTTTGGATATTGGTGTGAAATGAACAGTGACAAACATTTTATTGTGGTGAATCATGAAGTCTATAACTATAGTTTTTTTGAGGTTTGTTGTGCCACAATGTTATGTTGGGCCCTCAGGTTAGCACACCTTCTTGGCTACCATGATGTAAACGTTGAGCCAACTTGTCAATTTTATGTTACATTAAGACAGCCCCCCAGGCCGAGTGCA